TAGAATGAAAAGCGAAATATGAGCAACGTGGATAAAATAACAGATGATAATAAAACACAAGCACAACAAAAATACATAATACAGCCTGCAAATTCAACACTCTCTCTCTTAAGAACAGTTTAAAAAATGGATTGTTTATTACATTTTTGCGTTGATCTTGAATTATAGAAGAGGGATTCCCCCATTTTGGGGAAGGAAGGGAACATTATTCTTTAAATGTAGTAATAGAGTCCCATCTCGGAGACATGTGCAACCTCTGGTATGGGGTCATGAACAGGCAACGCTTGGCTATAAAGGGTCACAGCCCGAAACAGTTCAAAAATAGTGCCTTAAAGGAAACTTAAAGCAGCTGGCATCCTAACACTTTTTGTAAAGAAGGACAATATTTAATAAGATAGACTTTCATAGCCAGCTATCACAGGTCAACAGGCTCCAAGAATTTACTCCTTTAAATCAGCCTAAATAAAATAGGAGACACACATGATGGAGTATCGTTGAATAAATGCCCAGGGAAGCCGAACCAGACAACAACAGAACTGCATTCACCAACAGCAAAACATATTGTATTTTTAGACGCTTAGCTGCTAGCTAATCTCAGCACATGTCCATGCTGTCAGGTTAGAGCCTGTTATTAGACGGTAAGATGTAATGGCAGGATGGGGCTTTGTGTTTAACTCTGCCTGGCATTGTGTCTAAAAGAGTCCATTAACTCCAAGTCTGAATCAGAATATCTTCATTAATCCTCCAACAAGATCTAACAACAACATCAGATATGGTAGATAAATCACCTAAATCCACATAATAACACTAAATCTAGTAAAACTCCAGATTTGGACTGGGCTAACACCCATTCTGCATCCATAAAGACACTCGCAAACAAGGTAAAACAACTACAGGGGACGAGAAATATATCCAGTAACATTATTAAAACATACCGTAAAAAGACAAGAGAAATAAATAGATAGTACAGCGAGGTAGAATGGTCAATCATCAACCAATAAGTTCCATGGTTTAAAATGATCATCCACTCCTCTTGTGTCAAACACCATCTCCTCTTTCTTTTTACCATTTAACAGTTGGTTATTATCACACCAAGCAA